CGCGCCAGCCAGTGGGGGTTACCCCAGAGCCAGCAGCATAGAAACCAGCCAGGTACCCCCACTACGTCACACTCGGTCCAGAGGAAGCATTTTGATATCGGGAGACCAAACGGCTGTTTGGAGAGCCAAGGTACAAAGGTCAAAAACGCAAAAGCCAAGCCAAAGTTTCTTCAACTCTGCTGAAAAAATTAAAGTTTTGGGTCACCCCAAACAATCGCCTGGCCCCAGTTTTTCAGAACTGCCGGGGAACCGAACAATCCCTTGTTGACACAGCGCCGACAGGAGCCACCACCCAACGCCCCCGGCACAGGAATGAGCCTTCTTACTGCGCGGCGTGAAATGGAGGGGAAGGGCGGGTTGCTTTCCCAGTGCCCGCAGGGAGCTACCTGCTTCCCGGGAGCCGGCTGGAGACCGAGCAGGGCTCAGGCAGGGCGCACGGCAGCGGGAGGGGGGCAGCCCCCGACGAGGGGAGCAGGGCTCAGGCAGGGCGCACGGCAGCGGGAGGGGGGCAGCCCCCGACGAGGGGAGCAGGGCTCAGGCAGGGCGCACGGCAGCGGGAGGGGGGCAGCCCCCGACGAGGGGAGCAGGGCTCAGGCAGGGCGCACGGCAGCGGGAGGGGGGCAGCCCCCGACGAGGGGAGCAGGGCTCAGGCAGGGCGCACGGCAGCGGGAGGGGGGCAGCCCCCGACGAGGGGAGCAGGGCTCAGGCAGGGCGCACGGCAGCGGGAGGGGGGCAGCCCCCGACGAGGGGAGCAGGGCTCAGGCAGGGCGCACGGCAGCGGGAGGGGGGCAGCCCCCGACGAGGGGAGCAGGGCTCAGGCAGGGCGCACGGCAGCGGGAGGGGGGCAGCCCCCGACGAGGGGAGCAGGGCTCAGGCAGGGCGCACGGCAGCGGGAGGGGGGCAGCCCCCGACGAGGGGAGCAGGGCTCAGGCAGGGCGCACGGCAGCGGGAGGGGGGCAGCCCCCGACGAGGGGAGCAGGGCTCAGGCAGGGCGCACGGCAGCGGGAGGGGGGCAGCCCCCGACGAGGGGAGCAGGGCTCAGGCAGGGCGCACGGCAGCGGGAGGGGGGCAGCCCCCGACGAGGGGAGCAGGGCTCAGGCAGGGCGCACGGCAGCGGGAGGGGGGCAGCCCCCGACGAGGGGAGCAGGGCTCAGGCAGGGCGCACGGCAGCGGGAGGGGGGCAGCCCCCGACGAGGGGAGCAGGGCTCAGGCAGGGCGCACGGCAGCGGGAGGGGGGCAGCCCCCGACGAGGGGAGCAGGGCTCAGGCAGGGCGCACGGCAGCGGGAGGGGGGCAGCCCCCGACGAGGGGAGCAGGGCTCAGGCAGGGCGCACGGCAGCGGGAGGGGGGCAGCCCCCGACGAGGGGAGCAGGGCTCAGGCAGGGCGCACGGCAGCGGGAGGGGGGCAGCCCCCGACGAGGGGAGCAGGGCTCAGGCAGGGCGCACGGCAGCGGGAGGGGGGCAGCCCCCGACGAGGGGAGCAGGGCTCAGGCAGGGCGCACGGCAGCGGGAGGGGGGCAGCCCCCGACGAGGGGAGCAGGGCTCAGGCAGGGCGCACGGCAGCGGGAGGGGGGCAGCCCCCGACGAGGGGAGCAGGGCTCAGGCAGGGCGCACGGCAGCGGGAGGGGGGCAGCCCCCGACGAGGGGAGCAGGGCTCAGGCAGGGCGCACGGCAGCGGGAGGGGGGCAGCCCCCGACGAGGGGAGCAGGGCTCAGGCAGGGCGCACGGCAGCGGGAGGGGGGCAGCCCCCGACGAGGGGAGCAGGGCTCAGGCAGGGCGCACGGCAGCGGGAGGGGGGCAGCCCCCGACGAGGGGAGCAGGGCTCAGGCAGGGCGCACGGCAGCGGGAGGGGGGCAGCCCCCGACGAGGGGAGCAGGGCTCAGGCAGGGCGCACGGCAGCGGGAGGGGGGCAGCCCCCGACGAGGGGAGCAGGGCTCAGGCAGGGCGCACGGCAGCGGGAGGGGGGCAGCCCCCGACGAGGGGAGCAGGGCTCAGGCAGGGCGCACGGCAGCGGGAGGGGGGCAGCCCCCGACGAGGGGAGCAGGGCTCAGGCAGGGCGCACGGCAGCGGGAGGGGGGCAGCCCCCGACGAGGGGAGCAGGGCTCAGGCAGGGCGCACGGCAGCGGGAGGGGGGCAGCCCCCGACGAGGGGAGCAGGGCTCAGGCAGGGCGCACGGCAGCGGGAGGGGGGCAGCCCCCGACGAGGGGAGCAGGGCTCAGGCAGGGCGCACGGCAGCGGGAGGGGGGCAGCCCCCGACGAGGGGAGCAGGGCTCAGGCAGGGCGCACGGCAGCGGGAGGGGGGCAGCCCCCGACGAGGGGAGCAGGGCTCAGGCAGGGCGCACGGCAGCGGGAGGGGGGCAGCCCCCGACGAGGGGAGCAGGGCTCAGGCAGGGCGCACGGCAGCGGGAGGGGGGCAGCCCCCGACGAGGGGAGCAGGGCTCAGGCAGGGCGCACGGCAGCGGGAGGGGGGCAGCCCCCGACGAGGGGAGCAGGGCTCAGGCAGGGCGCACGGCAGCGGGAGGGGGGCAGCCCCCGACGAGGGGAGCAGGGCTCAGGCAGGGCGCACGGCAGCGGGAGGGGGGCAGCCCCCGACGAGGGGAGCAGGGCTCAGGCAGGGCGCACGGCAGCGGGAGGGGGGCAGCCCCCGACGAGGGGAGCAGGGCTCAGGCAGGGCGCACGGCAGCGGGAGGGGGGCAGCCCCCGACGAGGGGAGCAGGGCTCAGGCAGGGCGCACGGCAGCGGGAGGGGGGCAGCCCCCGACGAGGGGAGCAGGGCTCAGGCAGGGCGCACGGCAGCGGGAGGGGGGCAGCCCCCGACGAGGGGAGCAGGGCTCAGGCAGGGCGCACGGCAGCGGGAGGGGGGCAGCCCCCGACGAGGGGAGCAGGGCTCAGGCAGGGCGCACGGCAGCGGGAGGGGGGCAGCCCCCGACGAGGGGAGCAGGGCTCAGGCAGGGCGCACGGCAGCGGGAGGGGGGCAGCCCCCGACGAGGGGAGCAGGGCTCAGGCAGGGCGCACGGCAGCGGGAGGGGGGCAGCCCCCGACGAGGGGAGCAGGGCTCAGGCAGGGCGCACGGCAGCGGGAGGGGGGCAGCCCCCGACGAGGGGAGCAGGGCTCAGGCAGGGCGCACGGCAGCGGGAGGGGGGCAGCCCCCGACGAGGGGAGCAGGGCTCAGGCAGGGCGCACGGCAGCGGGAGGGGGGCAGCCCCCGACGAGGGGAGCAGGGCTCAGGCAGGGCGCACGGCAGCGGGAGGGGGGCAGCCCCCGACGAGGGGAGCAGGGCTCAGGCAGGGCGCACGGCAGCGGGAGGGGGGCAGCCCCCGACGAGGGGAGCAGGGCTCAGGCAGGGCGCACGGCAGCGGGAGGGGGGCAGCCCCCGACGAGGGGAGCAGGGCTCAGGCAGGGCGCACGGCAGCGGGAGGGGGGCAGCCCCCGACGAGGGGAGCAGGGCTCAGGCAGGGCGCACGGCAGCGGGAGGGGGGCAGCCCCCGACGAGGGGAGCAGGGCTCAGGCAGGGCGCACGGCAGCGGGAGGGGGGCAGCCCCCGACGAGGGGAGCAGGGCTCAGGCAGGGCGCACGGCAGCGGGAGGGGGGCAGCCCCCGACGAGGGGAGCAGGGCTCGGGCAGGGCGCACGGCAGCGGGAGGGGGGCAGCCCCCGACGAGGGGAGCAGGGCTCAGGCAGGGCGCACGGCAGCGGGAGGGGGGCAGCCCCCGACGAGGGGAGCAGGGCTCAGGCAGGGCGCACGGCAGCGGGAGGGGGGCAGCCCCCGACGAGGGGAGCAGGGCTCAGGCAGGGCGCACGGCAGCGGGAGGGGGGCAGCCCCCGACGAGGGGAGCAGGGCTCAGGCAGGGCGCACGGCAGCGGGAGGGGGGCAGCCCCCGACGAGGGGAGCAGGGCTCAGGCAGGGCGCACGGCAGCGGGAGGGGGGCAGCCCCCGACGAGGGGAGCAGGGCTCAGGCAGGGCGCACGGCAGCGGGAGGGGGGCAGCCCCCGACGAGGGGAGCAGGGCTCAGGCAGGGCGCACGGCAGCGGGAGGGGGGCAGCCCCCGACGAGGGGAGCAGGGCTCAGGCAGGGCGCACGGCAGCGGGAGGGGGGCAGCCCCCGACGAGGGGAGCAGGGCTCAGGCAGGGCGCACGGCAGCGGGAGGGGGGCAGCCCCCGACGAGGGGAGCAGGGCTCAGGCAGGGCGCACGGCAGCGGGAGGGGGGCAGCCCCCGACGAGGGGAGCAGGGCTCAGGCAGGGCGCACGGCAGCGGGAGGGGGGCAGCCCCCGACGAGGGGAGCAGGGCTCAGGCAGGGCGCACGGCAGCGGGAGGGGGGCAGCCCCCGACGAGGGGAGCAGGGCTCAGGCAGGGCGCACGGCAGCGGGAGGGGGGCAGCCCCCGACGAGGGGAGCAGGGCTCAGGCAGGGCGCACGGCAGCGGGAGGGGGGCAGCCCCCGACGAGGGGAGCAGGGCTCAGGCAGGGCGCACGGCAGCGGGAGGGGGGCAGCCCCCGACGAGGGGAGCAGGGCTCAGGCAGGGCGCACGGCAGCGGGAGGGGGGCAGCCCCCGACGAGGGGAGCAGGGCTCAGGCAGGGCGCACGGCAGCGGGAGGGGGGCAGCCCCCGACGAGGGGAGCAGGGCTCAGGCAGGGCGCACGGCAGCGGGAGGGGGGCAGCCCCCGACGAGGGGAGCAGGGCTCAGGCAGGGCGCACGGCAGCGGGAGGGGGGCAGCCCCCGACGAGGGGAGCAGGGCTCAGGCAGGGCGCACGGCAGCGGGAGGGGGGCAGCCCCCGACGAGGGGAGCAGGGCTCAGGCAGGGCGCACGGCAGCGGGAGGGGGGCAGCCCCCGACGAGGGGAGCAGGGCTCAGGCAGGGCGCACGGCAGCGGGAGGGGGGCAGCCCCCGACGAGGGGAGCAGGGCTCGGGCAGGGCGCACGGCAGCGGGAGGGGGGAGGGACCCGCCCAGGGGAGCAGGGCTCAGGCAGGGCGCACGGCAGCGGGAGGGGGGCAGCCCCCGACGAGGGGAGCAGGGCTCAGGCAGGGCGCACGGCAGCGGGAGGGGGGCAGCCCCCGACGAGGGGAGCAGGGCTCAGGCAGGGCGCACGGCAGCGGGAGGGGGGCAGCCCCCGACGAGGGGAGCAGGGCTCAGGCAGGGCGCACGGCAGCGGGAGGGGGGCAGCCCCCGACGAGGGGAGCAGGGCTCAGGCAGGGCGCACGGCAGCGGGAGGGGGGCAGCCCCCGACGAGGGGAGCAGGGCTCAGGCAGGGCGCACGGCAGCGGGAGGGGGGCAGCCCCCGACGAGGGGAGCAGGGCTCAGGCAGGGCGCACGGCAGCGGGAGGGGGGCAGCCCCCGACGAGGGGAGCAGGGCTCAGGCAGGGCGCACGGCAGCGGGAGGGGGGCAGCCCCCGACGAGGGGAGCAGGGCTCAGGCAGGGCGCACGGCAGCGGGAGGGGGGCAGCCCCCGACGAGGGGAGCAGGGCTCAGGCAGGGCGCACGGCAGCGGGAGGGGGGCAGCCCCCGACGAGGGGAGCAGGGCTCAGGCAGGGCGCACGGCAGCGGGAGGGGGGCAGCCCCCGACGAGGGGAGCAGGGCTCAGGCAGGGCGCACGGCAGCGGGAGGGGGGCAGCCCCCGACGAGGGGAGCAGGGCTCAGGCAGGGCGCACGGCAGCGGGAGGGGGGCAGCCCCCGACGAGGGGAGCAGGGCTCAGGCAGGGCGCACGGCAGCGGGAGGGGGGCAGCCCCCGACGAGGGGAGCAGGGCTCAGGCAGGGCGCACGGCAGCGGGAGGGGGGCAGCCCCCGACGAGGGGAGCAGGGCTCAGGCAGGGCGCACGGCAGCGGGAGGGGGGCAGCCCCCGACGAGGGGAGCAGGGCTCAGGCAGGGCGCACGGCAGCGGGAGGGGGGCAGCCCCCGACGAGGGGAGCAGGGCTCAGGCAGGGCGCACGGCAGCGGGAGGGGGGCAGCCCCCGACGAGGGGAGCAGGGCTCAGGCAGGGCGCACGGCAGCGGGAGGGGGGCAGCCCCCGACGAGGGGAGCAGGGCTCAGGCAGGGCGCACGGCAGCGGGAGGGGGGCAGCCCCCGACGAGGGGAGCAGGGCTCAGGCAGGGCGCACGGCAGCGGGAGGGGGGCAGCCCCCGACGAGGGGAGCAGGGCTCAGGCAGGGCGCACGGCAGCGGGAGGGGGGCAGCCCCCGACGAGGGGAGCAGGGCTCAGGCAGGGCGCACGGCAGCGGGAGGGGGGCAGCCCCCGACGAGGGGAGCAGGGCTCAGGCAGGGCGCACGGCAGCGGGAGGGGGGCAGCCCCCGACGAGGGGAGCAGGGCTCAGGCAGGGCGCACGGCAGCGGGAGGGGGGCAGCCCCCGACGAGGGGAGCAGGGCTCAGGCAGGGCGCACGGCAGCGGGAGGGGGGCAGCCCCCGACGAGGGGAGCAGGGCTCAGGCAGGGCGCACGGCAGCGGGAGGGGGGCAGCCCCCGACGAGGGGAGCAGGGCTCAGGCAGGGCGCACGGCAGCGGGAGGGGGGCAGCCCCCGACGAGGGGAGCAGGGCTCAGGCAGGGCGCAAGGCCACTGCACTCCACAGTGTCTGTCATAGGGATTGAGTGGGCACCTGGCCCCCAGTGACACTGCCCCTGACAATCCGGGGCGAGGGAGGGCGCCTAGAGGGGCACGGAGCTCTCAGAGCGGTGGAGCGGCTCACCGCAGTGGGCTGAGGCAAAGCCTGGCTCTGCAAGGAGCCCCCTGGGCCCCGCGCCCCACGAACCCAACCCTGCTGCTCCCTCCGGAGCCGAGAACGTGGGTCTGCCCCTGCCTCGCCCCCCTCTGCACAGGGACCCGGGGGCAGCAGCCTCCCCGGCACCGCTAGCCCAGGGGCGGGAGCCACCCTGGTGCAATCCCCCTTCCCCTGCTGGGAGAAGGGCTCTTCCCCCGGACCTGAACCCTGGGGTCGGGAGGAGAGTCCCTGCGCGTCTGACTCTCCTGGCCTGCGGGGCCCGGCCCTGGGGCGAGCTCTTACCAGCAGCACGAAGAAGACGAAGAACACGTAGGTGACGAAGTAGATGGGCCCCAGCACCCTGTTGGCATTGTCGATGGCGTTGTAGTCAAAGTCCCCAAGGATGATGCGAAACTGGGTGAAGCTGGGGGCAGAAAGGGCCCAAGGTCAGCAGCCCAGTGCCAGCCCAGCGCCTCTTCCCCTAGGCATCGCCGCCCCCCCGCTTTCCCAGGTGGCTTTGAGATGTCATGCAGCGTGCTTGTGCGCGGCTCCCGTGCCTCTGGCACGCTGCCCTGGGTGCCGAAGGGGTGCAGGGCAGCTAAGTGACAGAGAAGGATTTTGCCTCCCTTGAGGGGTGCAGAATAAAAGTCGTCTCCGCACCCCGCCGGGGGCGTCCCCCCAGTGTTTGGCTGGCCTGGCTCTGATGAGCCCCCTGCCTCCTGTTTCGGCCACAGCAGGGGGCTGCTGTTCACTGGGCGTTAGTGTTTGCACGCAGCCTCGGGGGTCAGGTGGAGAAACGCCCCTCACGTTCAATTGCACCCGGTCGGGCATTGGGCCCGCTGACCCAGGGTAAGGCAGGAGCCGGGGCTAAGCGACGCCAGACACCTCCCCAGCGACCCCACCGGCCCAGAGCCCACGAGTGAACGCGCCGAGCTCGTGTTCCAGCTCCGCCTCCTGCGCTGCTCCTCCCGCCGCCCCGGAGCCGCAGGGATGCCGTGCAAATCCGCTGGGGTTCTCCCGGGGCCGTTTGGCTACGTGGGACAGAGGCCCCCACTCAGGTCACGCTGCTGGGAGGGGGACGGCTGGCCCGGCTGGGGCCGAGGAGGCTGGGACTTTTGCTTTCAGCTAGGAGGCACAGAGCCGCAGGAGGGGAGGGGGAAGAGGCAGCCCCGGAAGAATCCCTTCGCGGGGCTCGTTTCCCCGAGATCAGCCACTTCCTGCCTCCTTTCCTGAGCAACTTTATGGGGCTTGCCCCCGGATTTCCAGCCCTCGTAGGGCGATTTCTGGGAGAGGGATTTCATAGACCCCCAGGCTAGAATGGAGGGACACGAGAGGTACCAAGTCCAGGCCCTGCCCTCCCGGCAGGACCCAGCACCGTCCCCGAGGTGTCTGTCCAACCCGCTCGTCCAGATCTCCAGGGATGGCTGGCTGAAGACGTAGAAGATCTCCAGGGATGGCTGGCTCTGCTTCTCCCCCGCCTCCCTGGCAGGCCCTGCGGTGATCGGCCACACACCGAGCTGTAGGCTGTGGTCACTTGTACCCTCCCGGGATCAGGGCAGGGCTGGGGTCAGGGCCAGGGTCAGGGCCAGGGTGTAACAGCTGGCTGTGCCAGAGCGCCCGCTGTGCAGACAGACCGTCCTGCCGGCAGGTAGGTGTGACGTGGGGGGGGGCTGTCTGCTCTGTGACCCGGGTCCCCTGCGCTGGGCTGCGATTCCCACTGACTCACCCACACGTGGATTGGCCCAGATACCTAGTCCCAGCCGGAGCTGATAACAAGGCTCTTTCCAGGGGGAGACACAAAGGGAGGAGGGGGAGACAGCAGTTTCTGGCTGGGAAACACGAAGGGAACAGACTAAGCTGGGTGCTGGGGGTCTAGGGGGGCGATGGATCCCTACCCCAAGGGGTCTTGGGCTGCCTGGCCCTGACTCCTGCAGCCACGTCCCGTCTGTGCTGTGTCCTGCAGCAGCAATAACCCCCCGTTCTACTGGCCGGCGGGGTCTGTTCTGGCTGCTCCGGGGGTGCAGGGTCGGGGGCAGAGGGCCCCGCTCTGAGTCAGGGCTGCGTTTCCACGGGCGTCTGCGGATCAGGCCCAGCCGGTCCCTATTGGACCCAGCCAGGGCGCTCAGCACAGCTCCCGCGCAGGCCGAGGGCGGCTGGGTGTGCGGGGCCCGCAAGGCGTTCCCATCCCCGGGAGTCGGCCGGCGTGACGCCGAGTTTCACTGTGCACGGAATCGCGGAGACGCCGCTCTGAGTCAGGGCTGCGTTTCCACGGGCGTCTGCGGATCAGGCCCAGCCGGTCCCTATTGGACCCAGCCAGGGCGCTCAGCACAGCTCCCGCGCAGGCCGAGGGCGGCTGGGTGTGCGGGGCCCGCAAGGCGTTCCCATCCCCGGGAGTCGGCCGGCGTGACGCCGAGTTTCACTGTGCACGGAATCGCGGAGACGCCGTTTCCCGAAGAACGAAAAGGGCCGGCGGCCCCAGCCCAGCGCCCGGAGCCCCCCCAGGAGAAGGCCAAGACGCGCTCCGTTTCCGTTCCACGGTGCAGCTGCCCGGTGGGCTGATGCTGAGCGAGTCGGGCGGGGAGCCAGCTCTGTTCCCCGGACACGTGGGCTCGCAGGGCCTGCCAGGCCGTCACAAGCAGCATGTTTCACTGGCAGCAGCCACTGGGCCCCCGGGCCGGGCTGGCGCAATGCGACTGCGTCATGCCTTCCCGGAGAGGAGGGCGGCTCCGGGCAGAGGCGGCGGGAGGGAAGAGGAGAGAGGCGCACGTACTTACATGCATTTAATAAAGGTGCTAAAGTTCTCCACCTGCGTCCCGAAGAGAAGGTAGCCCAGCTGGGCGTAGGCGAAGAACACAATGAAGAACATGATGGCAAAGCCCAGGATGTCCTTGGCGCAGCGCGCCAGCGTGGAGGAAAGCTGGGTCATGGTTTTGTTGAAGCTGATGTACTTGAATATCTAGGAGAAGAAAGCCGGGGGTGAGGTAAGGTGTGGGCGCCTCCCAGACAGATGCACATGCCGAGGGGATCGTCTGACAGCAAGAAACGCCACGGCAGGGCAGAAGAGAAGGTAGAGAAGAAAGGATGTCCAATAGCTCAGGTGTCCAGGAGGTAGAGTAGGTGCCATTCCTGCCACAGACTTACTGTGTGACCTTGGGTGAGTCACTTAGTCACCCTGTGCCTCAGTTACCCCATCTGTGTAAGGGGATAACAGCACTGCCCTGCCTCCCAGAGGGCTAGGGAGGATAAAAGCACTGCAGGCTAGGGACATGAGGGCCAGAGAAGGGTAGGATACCACGTAAAGCCCAGTGGCTCTGTACCAAAGGCCGGTCGCTGCCTGAGTCCGAAAGGGTCTCAGCAGGCCCAGCGTGGACTGGTGGCTGTTGCCAGCTGCTGGGTGGCCAGTGGGAAAGGAGCCGGCTGTCTTAGCCCAGGGGCGGCCTCGGCTACTAGAACAGTGGCGGGGGCGACGGCACGCAGCAGCGCTGGACTGGACACCCAGGGAGTCTACAGGCGTGTCGCCTTCGCCAGGCTGGCAGGGAAACCTGCTCCGACGGACACCAGCGATAAACAAAGCGTCTCGTGGGACAGTGGCGGGGGCGACGGCACGCAGCAGCGCTGGACTGGACACCCAGGGAGTCTACAGGCGTGTCGCCTTCGCCAGGCTGGCAGGGAAACCTGCTCCGACGGACACCAGCGATAAACAAAGCGTCTCGTGGG